CCACGGAGGGCGGGGGCGGGGGAGAGTATCAGGCTGAGGGTTCCTGAAGACATAGGATAGGCTTGCAGAGATCCAGCGCCCTAAGGGGAAAGGGGGAGAGGGTGTTATGTTCTCAACAGTAAAGAATATATTCATTTCAATATACTAAATGGAGAAATCTTTTACCCAGATGTAATGTTTCATACATGATTCATGGGTTATTAATCTCCAGACGCATAAAATTCCCATTCCCGTGAATCATCATTTACCCCTGATACAACCGTATAATATGTATGATTATCAGTAATTGAGCAGGCTGGTTGTTCTCTTAAATAATAACTATGTAGCAGGCTTCTGCATGCAAAAAAGGGCTAAAAAAGGTTACTGACTGGATAAAAAAAAGAGCAGGCAAAGCGAAAGAACTTGCAGGAAACAAACACTTTTTAAAAAGTCCGGACAGTTTTGTCTTTTTTGTTTTTGTTTTAGCGAAGCTAGAGCACTTATAGGAAAATACCTCCTCTTCCTCTGTATAGATAAAAGAAAGCCTTGACCTGCACTTGAAATTCGGCGTTGGATTGATCACGTATTCTGCAAGGTGTCGTTATAATATTATGGTAGAAAAGTGCAGCGACGTTCGTGCTAGATGCCATGAATCAGATCTCCATTTTCCCCAGTTATGGAAGTGAATTATTCTACGTCGGATTTAAAGTACGTATGCATCGTACGCCAGACAAAATACTGAGTAGGGTTTTGCTTTCTCCATTTTTACCATTATCATTTTCCGCCTTTTTGTTTCCTATTTCATTATTGGAAAGGTCACTAAAGTCCACTTCAGCACGTGATGTACATGAATTCACTTTCCATTTCATTACATAGTGTTGAATTGCTCTATTAAGGTTCTACATATATTTTAAGGCTGCTGTTTGTTTCATATTGATTTAAATCTTACTTTCTACATATAGAGGACTACATAATATTAGTAACGTGTAGTTTGTATGCGTATTTAATGATTCGGGCATTTAAAGACAACCACCATAATGTACAGCAAACAGTGCATACAGCCAGAAATCAGACGCGACAGGAACAGAGGAAGGGGCAGGCTCCGGAAAAGATGGATAGAAGGGGTCAGAGAAGCATAATTTATTCAATAACAACATAATCATGCAAGAAGCCAACCAACAAACAAGAGAAAGGCATTTGCTTCTCCCGTCAAGGTAACAGAGGACTTAAGAAAGTAAAGTTAGTGTGCGGTACTGCTCGTTTTATAATCGTGAGTGCACATAGATCTAGACAATAACAAACACGTGCGGGTGATAACGAACAAGAACAGGGTTTTAAAGAGAAACTGCTTTTTTCAAAGGGGCAACAGCATGTTCAGGCTTTGTTGGGCACGAAATGCACAGAGCTTTAACCCCAAACCAGTTATTTCTTCTGTGCTAACCCCTAATGCTCACCCTCACTTGACAGACATATTCAAACGTTTACATGACATACAAAATAACAAAACGCTCGGGCATACACATAGTCCGACACGCGCATGTACCAACAGTCTCTAAATTGTAATCTTGAGTGACAAGAAGATACACGAAATAAAAAATAAATGGCACCATGACTAAATCTACAGGTAGGTCCTACATTTTATTCTCCGCCTCGCTGTTGTTTCTGTCTGTCTACTTCGAACAAACTGGCCGGTATCATGTCGATGTGTTCTATTGTTCGAACAACACCAAATGTACAAATCGTCGACCTCATTACACTGAATCTAACTAGCGAATCTCTCTGATTTTTTGCATGCGTCTCTGAATTCTAAATGACCTAAAAACAAAATATCGATTTTCGTGTATAAGCGACAAATATAAAGAGGTGTTGTCTAATAATATAATAACTAGTAATTAATTGCTCTTTAAACTCAACATTGCGCACCTTTTATAGCAAGTACGGTACCATGCTAAAACCATAACAATACAGGGTGTCGTAGCAGGGGCTTTGCCAGGAGGCTGATACCGTTTGGTCAAACCTATAACCGGGGGTCAACAGAGTGCTAAATTATAAGCGCTAATAGGCATGTCACTGGGCACCTCCCCTCCCCTCCCGTTCAGGTCTACAAGCAGAGCTCCCCCCTTCCCTACCTACACATACATTTTCGAGCCACCTGAATATGAAAGTAGTATCATTGAAAGTATTATGCGTCTTTATGTTTGTTACTATCATTATTATTGTTAGTATTGTTATTATTATTATTATTATTATTAGATCTATTATTATTATTGTTTTTATTTTTAGGTAGTGTCTACGTTCTCTAACGTTAGTAGAGAACCTAAAAATAGAAAAATAGCTCGCGCGCCCTATCTAACATGGAAACGAGTCGACATTGCTCTCTTCCACAGTGCTTACAGTTTATTTTCGAAAGCTATTAAGTTTACTTTCGCGAAATCAAAATGCTCGCGAAAGTAAAGCTGTCTACAGTACTGCATCTTGCCTTTACAGCGACGTTAAACCCCTAACAAGCAACCAACACCTTCTATCATTCCATCGAGATGACACCCCCCCCCCCCTTTTCATAAGAATATGTTGTAGGCCTACACTTTTCACCCAAGGAAGGTGCACTCTGATGCCCCCCCCCCCCAAAGAAAAGCAACAACAACAAAAAAACAAAAAAAAGAAACCTTTGAATAAGTCACTGAAGATCAGGCCGTCTGTAATTAGTATTTAGAATCTATAGCATACAGTTTATATGCGATTTCGTATTCCCACCTCAACGCCAAGGTAGGCCTGTGTAGTACAACGTGAGAGACCATAAATGATACCAAATTCATAAGTGTGGAAAAACATTGCCGATTTGGTGTGTGATGTGACATCACTGTCAGGAAATCAAATCACGTGGGTCAAGGTCAAGTCAGTCATATCAACGCCAGGTCTACGATAGGCCTAGATCTAGTGAATAACCCAATTTATTGAGTGGACTGGCGGACCTATTTGATGTAGATCTGACGACACACCATAATGTAAACCAATTTGGAAAAAAAAAGGAAAGATTGAAATTTAGCCTAGCCTTATCCGGAAGTTCAAATAGGGCCCTACAGACTTAATATTGTTACTTGTTTTATTCGTTAGAGAACGTAGACAGCTTGTATACATTCTCTAACGTTAGAGAACATAGACACTTCCTTATTTTTATTATTATTATTATCATAAATGATATTATCACATCGGAAATTTTACTCATTATATATCACAAGTCAATCTATATAAACCCACTGTCGCCCACTAACAGCTGGACTTAAAACTATCAGTCTTGCCGCACATGAAGTCAGTTTAAAAAAAAAGAAAATAGATTTAAACGAACAAAAAAAACTAACACTTAACTACTGTACTTGTTTTAATTTAAAAATCTCGCGCCGACTGTTATTAACAACTAATGATTAAATAGAAAAAACCTCTTTATATTTATCGCATATGCACGAAAATCGAGATTTTAAAAGGTTTTAGGGGATTCAGAGGCACATGCAAAAAAATCAGGGCAAATCGCCTCTTAGCTTCAGTGTAATAAGGTCGACAAGTTGTCCATTTGGTGTTGTCCAGACCTGTCACTTACAGATCCTGATGGGGTCGGTGGAGAATACTAGTCAGGCTATTGGTCCCGTAATGATGAGATTGCGGGTTCTGGGGTTTCGAGCCTCAGCTCGACCCAAAGTGGTGTCCTTGAGAAAGTCACTTTTCACTAACTTCCTATTAGGCTCGGTCCTTTCGAAGATGGTCATGAAACTCGGAGGTCCCGCCTCTTAAGGCGGGGGTAGGAGGGGGGGCTACTCCCCCTAAGTCAAAATTCGGCTCAAAATGATGGAATTTGAGTTGTAGGCCTTTTTAGCTTCCTCAGCCTCTCCTACTACTATTTCATCGCATAAGAACCCCACAAAAACGTAGTTTTCCCCATACCGGGCATGTTTGTCACCACCATTTCCCCATAAAGTCAGTATTTTATTTTTCTTTATCTGTCGTTTTCTCAAAACGCAATTTTTGTCTATACTTTTTTAAATAACTCCACCCTTTTTCATCCAATCTTCATGAACTTTTCTCAAAATGAAGAGCAGATGTAATACTATAAATTTGTATTGTGCATTTTTGATATATGGAATAGATTTTTGGTGGTGGTGTCTCAAGTGTGGATTTTCACGGAATTTTTGCAAACTTGAATGCTACCTCAGGGAAAAATTCATAAACATTGTCTAAGTCGTTTAGGAAAAAAACAACAGACAGATTTTTAGATCTAATGTTTGTGAACACGCAAGCAAAAAAACAACAACAATTTTCATTTGCGATAAGTGCGATATTCATTACGTAAGACATGTCAACAAAATCCAATATGGCCGCCGTATCCATGGAAACGAAACTTTTTTCTCCAATTTGATTCCGGATTTTAAAACTCCTTACTATGCTTGTTATATGTGTGACATTTGGAAATAAGCAAGATAGCCTTCAGGTGTAGCCCCCCC